GGAGGGCAGAAGATTGTGGGAAAGTGTCTCTTTCAGCACTGAGAATATGTAAGAAGAGATGCTCTTAAATAGAAAAGTTGACAATTATTGCTGCTGACAACAACATATTGACAAAATTGACCTTTTTTCTGATTAAACTCTTGTTCATTAAGTCTGGGTTCTCACATGATAGTGATATAATGGCTAGAAAATTTAAATAATAAAAACTCCTGACATAACCCAAAACATTAGTTCACCAATCAAATCCTATAAAGTTCCGTATGTCAAAAACGTTTTCGAAAAGCTCAATAATAAATTCAAACAATTTAAATTAATATACTTATTGTTCAGGCACACACCAACACTATCCACAAAAGATTAAGCAACAACAAAACTGTTATCAATATTTCTGAAAGAAACAATGTGGTTTATAGTTTTTCCCGTAGCTGTAAACACACTTATGTTGGTGAAACCAAAAAAAAAAGTTAAAAATCCATTTTAAAAGAACACATCAATGCTATTAAACACAACCTTGAAAACTCCACTGTAGCTAAACACTGTGTTTTCCATAATTGCAATACTAATAAAGATTCATTAAAAATATTAAAAACAAAAAGAAATACTACCGAACACAAATTACACAAACATTTAGAAATTATTAAAATCCAACACTTCTGCAATAGGGAACACTGCTTGTACATGCTGACTATCTCCTTAAACCTATGTAACCTTCCTTAATACAGTTCCTAATATAATTTTTTAACTGTTATTTTGTTTATTGTTTTGTATTTCATCCACTTACCTTTGTATTTACTCCACAATATGTTCTTTACAATAATTATAACCTCCGGATGCTATTTGTACTGTAATCATAATCTATCATCTGCAAAAATCCCGATAATGTCATCATCCAACGCATCCACTACAAAATAGTATATGCAGTACCTTTTGCACTATTTTTGTACTATTTTAAACTAAACCAATCCCAAATAATTGTAACAAAAAAAAACCAACTGTATTTTCGTAGACTCCTGTATATCAACCAATATATAATAAATACTGCCGAAGAGGGACAAACAACCTATCTGAAATGCATACCGATGCTGAATAAACCTGTATCTCTGACTTCTGTGTAATTTTTCTGACTATGTCAACATTGTATACATAATAAACAGGTTTATTACATACCCAGCAATAGTAACATTATAATTATAATTTCAGAATACTATCAATAATATGTATGTAATAACTTGTAATAATTGTATTATTAACATGTATTGTAATGTAGGCAATTATCATCATAGACTGTTTTGTATGTCACCCAATTGATAAGAGTCAATAAGGCCGAAATGCATTTTGGGATAAGTTAAATAGGCTGGGTATGTAATAAGCTTGTTCATTAGTTATATGTAACTAAGTAGTTTTTGTAATTAAATAATAAAGGCAAAAAGCTTTTTATTATAATATTTTACAACTTCACAGTTTTCTAATATTAATTTATGTGTTAGAAGATATCTTACAGTCATAAAGGTATCATTACATTCTATTACAGACATTGCTTGTTGAACACAAAGTAGACATCTAAGTTTCTCAAGCTTTATGCATTTATATATGTTTGAGCTTGAGAAAAGTCAAAGACTGAGACTCAGGTCTGGAATGTAGGGCATAATATAAAACACTGTACTTTTTACCTGTATTTCAGCAAATCTGTCACCTGCAACCCAAAAAGCCAATCTCTGAACAAGTCAAGTTAGTTGCTGTGCTTTTTCCCCATTCAAATTTTATAGAAAGTCATGATTACAGGGTGCTGTAACACTTGTTCCATATGATACTTTAACTGACAGCATAACTCCAAGATAATCAAAGATCATTACCATTGCTGTTTTTGGTATCCCTGATCCAAGTTCACACATCTTTCACAAAGCAAAAAGTCCAGTAGAAAACTGTACTCTAGTCTATTGTTTGATCACCATACATTTCACACAAAGCACTATGAATGTGTTATATTTTTGTCACAAAATCTCAATCTTGATGTAGAACCATTTATTTTCATGTGTCACAGTATCTGATACCTCTGCAAGGGTCATTTCTAATACTCATCAATCCATAATGATAAGCACTATGGGAGTGATATTTCATATGATGCTTCTTGTCTCATACTACAGCTAACATGTCATTGCCACAAATGAAAATTCAACCATTCATAAAACCTTTAAAAACAGCAATAAGAATTTAATTACAAAGTTTCATGAAGATCTGAATTTCCATATATGCAGTTTTTATTTTTTATTGCCACAATGTGCATTTCTTAAGAAATGATCTTCAAATTTCTATTTCAGTTTTAAATTACAAAGTAATTTTGTTCTAATGTAAATTAATTTATTATTCACAAACATTTCTTTATAATGATCAAAGATAGAACAAAAATGTTACTTAACAATTTTTAGCATCCAGAAATAAGCAGTTAGCTTTTAAACTACAATATGGAGCTAAGTTCTATACAGTTTCATGATAAATATCATAAAAATGCTCAAATGTCAGTTCTATGTCTATTTTTAACTTTTACTGATATTATATGCAGACTAACTGCAAAGTGCAAATTTCAGTGATAACGCTTGACTCACGATATGTTATTTCTTTGCCTTGATAACACAACTTCTTGCTTTATTTGTTTTATTTTCAAAACTTTTGGAACCACATATATATAGGCTATATTACAGTATATAAATTACTTTTTGAACTATTTCTCTCCTTAAATCTGTTTCTCTAAAATTTCTTATCAAAAATATTTTTATTTGAGAAACATTTTCAGATCTCTCAAATTCATCTTCAATCATACAATTAATTTAAAAGTTGTAATTTGACATTAATAGAATTCCATGTAATATAGAAATGTTCATCAAAATATAAAAATACTTTATACTTTGTTAATAGATAATTACTTATGTTTTCTCAACTTTTTATTAAATAAACAAATAAATAAANAAAAAGAAATCAAGATGGCCAAAGTAGTAGAGGCCAATATGTTCCTCTGAGAACCAGAGTTTTTAGTTTAGATTGGATCTTCAGATATATTTAGTTAATTGACCTAAATATATCAAGTACCATCCCTCAATAGTTAGCTGCCTTTATTGTGGAATTGGCCTAACCTATGATGAACTTGGAAAATTGGGGACTTTCCCAGGTTTTGCCTGTTTTTAATATTTGGTTGTATAGTACAACCAATCTTTCAATAGAGCAATTTTATTAACACTAATATAATATCACCAATTTACAGATCAATAAATAAATACATTTTAAAACAATAACCAAAGTTTAAATTAATCAATTTTAGACCCTTTACCAGTGGCTGGATAAAGCCACTGGTAAAGGGTCCAGCCAACGGATTAGAACATAAAATTTTCCAGATTTCATTCACATTTTTAATACTTAAATAGGGGTCAGTTTCCCATAAAAGGCCTCACAGGGGTATTTCTCCCTCAGCAGATTGCCCACCTGTTGCATTGTCATATTCGAATAAAACCAAACCAATTTTAGACTCCATCTTCACTGATTCTAAAAGGTGTTCCCAGATTGATTTTAAATTATAAATGTCTGCTACTATAGAGTACCTGCAGGACAGGCTGGATTTAGGCCTTTTCCTTCTAGAGGTACACAGACTGCAGCCTTTTCTGACATTAATTACGGAGTAATTAATAAATTTAGCACACTTTCATATTGCTTTTTAAAATATGAAAATTAAATATTTTACTAAATGGTAATTAACATACATAGTAATTTTTTTTTTAAATTAAAAATTACATCATACATATTGGAATAGTTTAGGCCTACATTATAAGTGGACAAAGCTATCTGAAATTGGCAGCATAACTAAGAGGGGGCAAAAGTGGACATGTGTTTGGACACCAACTTTTGGAATGCCAAAATGAACCTGTAGAATTTTTTTTTGTAATTAACATTGAAACAGTTGCCAGGCATGAAGTTTGCCTCAGGTGCCAAAACTGTTCAGTACAGCTGTCTGAAATAATTATTTAAATTAATTATAAATACAACAGAACCTTGATTATATGACGCAAACCTGTAAGTTAATACAGACATTTTCTCATACTGTAATTCATAAAATAATGTTTAAAATGATAACATGTGTTCTAAAATGATTTGTTTCTGTTACCTTTTATCAATGCCAGACAGATCATTCATATTAAAGTGCAACTACAATAATACACATCTTTATTAAAATCATTGTATTTACTGCATTAGCTGTATAATAAATGATGTAAAAATTGCTGTTCTTATATACAATTAACTTCATTAAGGTATAAAAAATAGACTTAAAAGTGGTGTCATATAAATCCACAGCTGGACAACCAAATGATTAAGATAGCAGCCAACTGCTATGGGGACCTGTAATCAAATCAGTGTTCAGTGGTTTTATCCACTCAGTCACCAGTGGACAGCACGGGTTCGGTTAGGCCCACATTGGGACACAGAGTGATAAAGGAGGGATCCAACATTTCTGGAACAGACCACCTCCCAAAGTATTCCTAGTGTTTTTTAACTATTGAGACTCACTTTCAGATTCCCAGAGCAACAGGTTGACAAAGTAACTGCCTTGGCCACCCTTTTTTCTTTTAATGTTTAAGTAATTTGGAATAATTGCAAGCTAAACTTATGAAACATTCAAAAACCATAAATTATAATTACAAAAACACTTGTAAATAATGCTATTTCTTTCATAATGCTATTCTATCCATACTAATATTTATTTGCTGGAATATTAAAGGTGTGTTTTATTCATATTATAGTCATCCAGTATGTACAGTACTGTACATTATATATTCATTGTTTCATTAAAAACTGCCAATTATAAAACAAAATGAAAAAAAAAATTAATGTATGTAATTACAGTAATTATAGCCAATTTAAAAAATAATTATTAAAGATTTTCACATTTATCTTCATAATTTAAGTCAACAAAATATTAAAAATTGTGTCATAATTTATAATTTATATAAAGATATAATTTTAAGGATTTGTATAAAAATTAATTATAAGAATGAAATGTGAATAATCATTATATATTATTTCACTTTTCCTTAAAGCTAACACTAAACCACTTAGCACTAAGAGGGAGGAAGTAGTAGTTAAACTGGACTCCAGTGAAGTGCAGAAAGCAATCAAAACTTTTATGTTTAGCCTTTTTTTATAGTTAGATGAATAGCAATTCTGAGGAAGAGTTTCTTATCCACATGGTCTTCTACTTCCAAGATGCAACTTTACCTTCGGACATTTCAATATTTCTGTATCCTAGATAATACGGTATTATATTCATGTAAACTTATCATAATACTACATTAATAAATGCATATGACCCTATTATAATTCTTTATTTTCAGAATAAATTTTTTTATGAACATCTGTTTTATAAAATGATGAATACATGTACATAAGGAAGAAAAATAACTTTTTAAGAATTTCTCATCCAACAATAGGAAGTAACAAATATCTAAATTTAATCATGAAGAAAAATCTTATATTTAAATGCAAAAAAAAAAAAATTCAATTTATTCATAAACACTTGGTGCTTACTTTTTCATTTATTATTATTATATTTTTTTAAATAGAAATTTTCTAAACCGTAACAATATTACCAGAAATACATTTTGAAGTTATATCTATTCTCATGATTTAAATCAAATATTGTTATATTTATGATAGTTATTTAAAATAAAAAATAAAATAAGGAACATTTATTTTAATGAGGTAATTTGTTGATAAATTTAAAATATTAGTTCATTTCAATTATTTTCTATATTTCTTTAATTCCTTTACAAATGTTTTTTTTCTTTTCGAACGAACATAAGTGAATAAATTTGTCATAAGATATGAACCAACAAAATTCACAGTAGCAAAAATAGTTTGAATTATCTGTAACGGGCACAGTTTTATAATTTTTTTTTGTTTTTTCTTAGAAAGCAAAGCATCATAATACAATTTAGAATTCTATAATATCTGTAATTTACTATGTATAAAGTAATAACAAATATACAATATTAAAATTACAAAAGCTGCTGCTATGAAAACACCTACAAACATATAAAAAGATGAGATCCTGAAATTTCCAGTTTATATCCTAATTCAAATAAACTCATTTACAAGAAACTTCTTCAAGGAAAAAATGAATATGAAAAAGTATTCAGATAAAATATGACAAGAACAAAATTGTCAATGTGATCAGTTCAATCTCCAATTGATGCTGCCAAGAATATATATCCCTCTAAGAATTATGTTTTTCCATAAAATTTATGGCAATCCCTTTTTGTTAACGAAAATTGTCATGATAACACGAGAGGTGACTCCCATTACAATATGAAACATATGGCAATAGTTGGTTGTGCAGTTTATAATTTCCATACCATCCTTTGTGCTTATCACAGTTGAAGTGTCAAAAAATTGGGCACCCAGGATGATTAACACAAATATAAGGCATGATATCAAATTGATTGTAATTTATCACAGGCTGTCATCAATTGTGGGCAACCAGAAAGCCTGTTAAAAAAAATATATGTAAATTAAATTATTATTATTATTATTAAATACATTTTGAATAATTTATTTATTATTATACATAAAAATAATTGTCAATTTTATAAATACGAGGAAAAAAGTTAGTTACTTACCCATCTGTTATTTTATTTTTATATAATTGCATAAATAAAATTAAATATTTAATTCTTTTGTGTGATAAAATAATTCATAACATGTTACAATTAATTTTATTTTTTATCAGAGAATGATAGAATTATAGAAAAAAAAAGATGTCAATTTTCTAAACATGACTAAATGGAATTATATAGTAAGTGGTTGTAGACAGAAATAAGCAATTACACTGGTACCTCGGTATACATCTGCTTTAGAATACTTCCAATTCGGAATACGTCCTGTTTGGACAAAACAAATTTTGCTCGGTATACGACTTAATTCAATTATACGTGCCATCTATGAACAAGTAGCACTATCAGTGTACTAGATCAGACTAGATGTTTGCGGTGCAATGGTTTATAACTTTGTTAAATTTCTTCTGATTTTAATTTGTAAGAAAAATTTTATTATTTTAATTAATCATGAATTGCAATAAGGCAAATGAAAAGCAACAGAAAACTAAAAAAATGACTAGAATCACAATGGAACTGATAAAAGAGATTGTTGAGAAATATGAAGGTGGCACGCATGTTCAAGATTTTAACTGTTGCATACCATATTCCAAGAATGACGATATCAACAATCGTGAAAAATAAATACATTATTAAATCTGCTAACGTTGCAAAAGGGGTTAAATCAATTTCTAAACAGAGATTGAAGACATTAGATCATGTTAAGAAATTGTTTTGCTTTGGATAACTGAAAAACAGTGTGCTGGAGATAGCGTATCAGAAGCAATTATTTGCGAGAAAGCTAAAAAGATACATGCTGATCTCATGAAAAATCAAGCAGGAACTAGCCAGGAAAGCGAGGTGTTTAAAGCCAGCCATTTTTTTTACATGAGAACGGATTAATCATTTTTACATTACTTCTTATGGGAAAGGTTGGTTTGGTATAC